CGCGAACCTTGAAAATGAGCAGCGGAGCCGTGCTCGCGGTTCCGACGCGTTTTTCTGCCCTCGAACCAACGAAACCGCAAGTCTGACGCAAGTTACTCTGCACATAAATAGAGGAAATAGAGTAAATATCTGCGAAAACTCATCAGCTTTTGTCTTCGACAGGTACCCCAACGGGTTCGATTGTATGTAACGATAATCACACCGTCACCATCACCATCATGAATGTCATTGACATTGACGAGTTTAACGAAAGCGATTGGCGAATCGACGACAAGGAAGAGTGCGAGCCGACGTTCTCGGGACAAACTGTAACGTACACCAACTTGCTTGTGGGAAACTGTTCCTCAACGTCTGAGGAAAGAGACAATGATATCATATACGTGTTCAAAATCCGTGTACTACCTACAGGCAGTGACCCAATACAAGCCGTGGACCATATGTTCGACGCCTCGTGCGTGTACGTAAACAACGACACGGTGACGGCCAGCTTCATACCGCTTACACAACGCAGGGACAATGCCACAGGTAAGATATCGTGGGGAGCAGGTATGGCGCAGTGGCGAGAGCGCTCGCCTAGTACCAGTGTGGCCCATGTTCGATTCTGGCCCTGTGCCATATGTCGGTTGAACTTGTTGTTAGTTCTCGCCATGCTCCCAGGGTTTTCCTCCGTGTTCTCCTTAACAATGAGGCAAAACAAACAAAAAGGCATCAGAAAGGCATATATCGTAAGCCTGCTCTGGTTCGGTAACACAGGAAAAAACAACATGTCCAAATTTTAATTTGACCAGAATAGAGAATCTGTAAGAAAACCAACTAAGGCTGATGACTTGACTTGATAGCAGAGCATTCCATCAAGAAAAATGTGCACCCTCTGCATATTTTAGCAAATAAACAATTTTTGAAGGGTTTTAGAAAAAAGGGAACGTAATTGCATGATATTGAGGTAGGGACCTCGGAGGCGGTATGATTAAACGTCTAGGAAACTCCTCGTACGGATGGTCTCCTATTTTATCCTATTGTAGTGACCCTTGCTTACCCCTTGTCCTCGGATGATTTAGTTTATCTCGGATCTTCTAACTTGTCATTATATAGCAAAAGATCCTGTGAAGAATTCTAGTAACTATAGAAACTCCTTTTAAAAAACTGACGTAATCAAACTCGACTACACGATTTTGCATTTTTCATCTCCGAATCAGATTTAATCTTGAATGAAGTTAAATCTTCATCATCAGTAAGGTGTTAAATTTGAAAAGGAATCGAACGTTACTAACTTTTTCTTTCGTTTATTCTTCAGACTCCGCGTTTTTCACCTTTACACTTGACATTTTCCACGATGCTAATTTTAGCACGCCTCTTGTCAACCCAGTTGAGTTGGATCAAGTGTTATATTTCAGGGCCTTAGTTGTGACTTCGAGCGCTTTACCCAACCTTGACCTTTTCATTCTAAGCTGTCACTCGTCGAAACAAAACGATCCCAATTCTGAGGACGGAAAAGTTTTATTCATACAAAATGGGTAAGGGCATTACTTGGTAGTTCTAACAATCTTTTTACATTATTTTAGTAATAATAAATAATAAATGTTAAAAATATTTCTTTTAAGTTCATGGAACGAAAAGAATACTGCGGTTCCAGAGGTGCTCGGTGAGACTGGACCCGAAGCTGGTCCGGGGGGGCACTCTCTTGCACAAAAAATCATAAGGGAGAGGCAGGTTGGTACAAGTAAAATCAGTTGAAGGCCACGCAGACTTACTGGAGTGTCTCAATGGGGTTTACCGTTAGCCAAAAACTTAGCTGTCAGGCATAAAAATTGGAAATGTTCAATCGTTTCTCGAAAAAAATATTAACCGTTAAAAAACTTATTGGGGACACTGTATAAAATATTTGCATAGCAATATAAAAATAAGTTCAGATGTACACTGAACTGATCATGTGTACAGCAATACTTAACAACATGAACTAAAAATTTGTCATGATATTTCTGATTCAGAAGCATAGACTTCTCAATTACACAAATTAGCTGTACTTGAAAATTGTTATTGCCTGTAAATGTTCTATATATTTCTTTTTTCCAACTTAGCTGTGGTAACAACACTGTGAGTCAAGACGCAGGTGACACATTATCGTACGCATGCGCCAACGACAGCAAACAAGAAAGCTTCACAATCCAATCATTTCGTTACTTTCAAGTTGACGCAGGACTGTCAGTTTACATGCACTGTGAATTCAAGGTTTGCCTGGCAGAAACTCCAAATTCTGACTGCGAATGTCCAACGGTTGATGAGTGTAACCCTAACGCAAGAAAAAGGCGGTCATTATCAGAATCTGTGGTGTATCGCGTCACGACGGGTCCTTACTATTCTATGAGAGAGGAACAAGAAACAGACGACAATGGTATGCACTGCTCTTACAGCTAACCTATTGGGCCACACCTTTTAAGTTTAGTTGGATCATATCTTTGCAGGAGGGAGGGAGGGAAGGAGGCGCGGTGGCCTCTTGGTTAGTGCACTCGACTCCGAATCGAGCTGTCCGGGCTCAAGCCCTGACCGGGAACACTGTATTGTGTTCTTAGGTGAAACACTTCACTCTCACAGAACCTCTCTCCACTCAGGTGTATAAATGGTGGTACTGGCGAGTTTTTTTGCTGAGGCGTAGCCCTGCAATGGACTAGCATCCTATCCAGGGGGAGTAGAAATACACTCTTAGTCGCTTCACGCTACAAAATCTGGAGATAATTAAGCGCCGTCCCTATGGGCCACTTGGCTCGTATGCCGACTTTAACCTTTTACCTTGCATATCTCTGATACTTAAATCGTATATAGCATACTCAGTGTTTAAACCAAAGGATCCAAAACACCTGTGTTTTGGTCCTAGCGTCGTTACTTTTTTCGAATCGCATATATACGATATATGAATATACAGCCGAATTTAATTCTTTTTAAAGCTTGTACTCCACACCTTTTGCAAAAGCAAACTCTCGAAAGCTTAACACTTTGTTCGAAAGCTAAACGCAATTACGGAATAAAACAAAATCAGTCCAACGATTTTTCATTATTTCTGTTGTTTCAAACGCGTAGTGTAGCGACGGTAACCTCAAGAGGAAAAGAGGCGCTTGTCTACTGATTGATTACACACAACATGGCAAATAAAATCCCTAACATGTAATTTTTCAAAGAGGAAAAGGCATCTCAATTAAGAAGCTAACAACTATTTCTATTTTTTGTTTCAGATCGTTTCCACGAGGTAAGAAACGAAGACAATGGACCCTTCCACCTCAATCTGACAATCATTTTGGCGGTCAGCGGCGTTGTAATATCATGCATTGCATGCCTCACTGCGTTCATATTTATACGCAAGCGTCAAGCGCGTTTTTCAGTCTCCGAGAAAAACGAGGCGTGTGACAAGCATGTAAAAACTTGATAGGAGTGCCAGAGCATTTCCTCTAAGTACGATGCTTGTATAGTTACAAGACGCTTTTGCTCTCCTGTTGGGCGTTTGCGATTGAATCAGATCCTAATCTTGTTAAACAAGTGAAAAAGAATTAAGAATCGGTTGAAAATGGTGACGCAAGCTGATAAGAGCAGGCGTAAAAGACTGTAATAGTCAATATACCCAAAAAATAGAGAAAGCGCAAGCAAAAGGGCTAAAATTTTATAATAATAATAATAATAATAATAATAAGATATTTATTTATCCCGATAAAAAACCGATCAGCTGAACCTGAAGGAGCAGCTGAGATCAATTAGCAGCTGGTATCCTTGTATGCCGTTTTCGCGTTTCGTTTCCGTATCATTTTGTATTGTTGGGTGCTTCATTTTTGTATGGAGTCTTGGAATTGTACTAACGTAAACTGATTCCTAGTCTTGTGAGAGCCAAACTGACAGCTATAAGAGAAATATACCTGGCTATCACACAATTATAGATATGCATTATAGATATTTACCGACTACATGCATCTTGAATAGTTATCACATGTAAGATGCCTATTTGGGAACTCTAGGAATAAAACCTGTTGCCTTTAAGAGTAATTATCAAGAAATCATGTGTACTTTACAAATATACCTTCCTTCACTGTTTCGTTGAGCTTATCATTTATTGAAATAATCAGTAACAATTACAATTTTCTAAATGTGATTGGTGCATAAGCTGCTGGACATCGCACTAATTGATCTGCAAAGCTGGAATGGGACAATTGGCTGTAATCGGGCACCTGTAATCAGACAGTTACACAAGCCAATCATTTTAAGTCTTCTCAACTAAATACACCAATCATAACATTGATTACAATCACCATAGTAACCAATTCAACTGAGCGACTCTAAAATCGTCGAGGCTTAACTCCGCGCCGGTGGCTGTTTTCAAAGAAACTTAACAGTCGTTTTTGAAGCTATTCTCCATATTTTTTTCTAAAATTGTAATTATCATATACAAGAATGACTATTAAAAGCTATTTTTTGTATGAAACGTTTACTTTTATGGGAAATTGTGATGGATACAATTAATTGGTAAGAGGACATCGTGTCTTCCAATTCATAATGGTAATAGGACTGAGTGGAGTCCAATTCGGTCTGTAATCATACTAGTGATTAACAAAATCGGACGACCACGAAGCGGGAGTCCGATTTGTTAATCACGAGTATGATTACATACTGAATTGGACGACACGATGTCCTGTTACCAATTAATCAAAAATATGACAAAATTCGAGAAACGAACAAACCATCGATTGAGCGCTGAACGATTAAACGTCGTTATGAATGCTGAAAAACACAGCAGTTTACTCAACAAAGCGCACCGCAACAGCGAACGCAAAATGACGCGTACTGTCCAATTACAAGCATGACGTGTACAACGTCCAATTAATGCTCAAATCGGGCTACTGATAGCCAATCACGTTCGAGAATTTTGTTATAGTTTTCTGTAATCATACCAGTGATTAACAAATGATTGGACTCCTACTTCGCGGTCGTTCGATTTTGTTAATCACTCGTATGAATAGAGACCGAATTGGACGACACGATGTCCTATTACCATTACAAACTGTGGTATTTTTTTGCAACGAAAACCACTGATATTGTATGTGACCTCAAAGAACTGCAGCCGTTCATCTACTATTGCTAATGAATCTAGCAACATCTGTATACTGGCATAGATGAATTACCAGGCAGGCAAAGTAAGTTCAGTTCGATCCACAACATGGAGGGAGTATTTAATATTCACAGATATTTTCAAATTTTTCCAACGTGAAAGCTCGATAAAGGAGATCCCCATAGGATATATCGATACTTCTCGACTTCCGGCAATTGATTCGGACCGGACGGGAAAATAGCGAACATTAGGCCAGTTTTTTCTGGCCTCACGGGGGTTGCTCTGTGCGCCATTACTTAGAGTTATAACCGACATTTCCCGTCCCGACCTCCAAGTCGATTGTTAAGCATGCGGTCATAATGCAGCTATTAATTTAAGATAAAGATGACATAAAGGCAGTTGAAATAACCCAATTTTTTTCTTTTCAAGTAGACGGGTTAAAATCCATTTTACCACTTGCAGTTGAAATTAAAGTTTTCCAACGTTCTAATTCGAATGGCTATTCTGGTCTGTTGTGACTGTTACATTGCTTACATTCAAGGACCCTAGCGGGCACTTTTAATTGACTATTTACAAACCTTGTGTGGTTGAACAAGTTATTGAAACATAAAGTGACAGTTTCGTCTTGTGTTTATAGCTGTGATTCCATTTCCATCGTTGTCTTGTTGTCGTCTCGAAATCGTGTAGTTCTTTGGTCTTGGGACATGTCAACTGGCGCAACGCGCCAACGGCGCCGGGACGCTAACACGCGTCTGCACGGACCGAGAAGCCTGAGAAACGTTTTTCTCATTTCGGTATCACGAAAGGCGTAAACTAATGGGTTCATAGCGCTGTTGCAATACTGCAACCATTTTGCAAAGATAAGGAAAGCCGTGATTTTCTGGATAGGCAAGCACTGCGTGCAAAATGCGGAGATTGTACTCATTACAAAGAATGACAACCACGAAACGAGAAACAAGGCCGTGACAAATGTCAGCGTGAGGGCTGTGCGTCTTTGTTTGTTTATGTTCTTATGTAATTTGGTGCTTTCTTCCACGTTTTGTATTGTTGGGAGATTTGCAATGAGCGCGCGAGCCACTTTAAAAATGGAATAGTTGACAACGCTGATGAGAATTCCTGGCCCAACATAACCAACGAGCAGGAGAAATGGCGTGTAAATTCTGTGCGGGTTGCTACTCGTGGATTCGTCCAGAGCAGGTCGAATAGCTGCTATGGCAAAAGCTGTCATCCACACGCCGCAGATAGCCAAAGAGTAATGCAGTGTAGAGAGTGTCTCATGAACAAACGGTCGCGAAATGGCCAGCCAGCGCTCCAGACTTACGCTTGTCAAATGAAAAATGGAAGCCAGCGCACTGAAAATGTCAAAAGATAAGAAAAATGTGTTCAATGGACCTCTCTGGACGTTTTTTAGGCTGATGTACATATATAGAGGCAAAGAAACACATCCCACCAGTAGATCAGAGATAGCTAAGCTGACGAGAAAAGTGTAGGTGCCGGTTCGAAGCCTGAAGTTTGAAAAAAACGCCGCAACTACGAACGAATTTCCAGTTAAGATGACAAACATGAGGGCCAGACAAAACACTATCTGGAAAGCTGTGCTCAAAGATAGTTCAGTGGCCATTTCTTTGAATATGTCTGTTCCCTTTAAGTTCAAGTACCTCTCAGGTCGGAAAGGACATAGATGATGAAATTTGTCACGAAAATCCCTGATGTCAGCCGGTGGTCCAAAAATTGAGAGATCCTTCTTGAGTCCGTGTTGTATATGAAATCCTGGTGTCGTGATGGTAGTGAGTCTACGAAGCCGTTTTTTTTTTTTTTCTGTGAATCGCGACTGAAGAAGACTGCTAGAAAAAACTCAACAACAACTTTGTCATCTGTAAACAGAGACTATGTTGCACAAATTAGGCGTCTCTACTCTAAATGGACGGCAAAACTACAATGATCTTTTCACACTGTAACAATGAGAAGAAGGTGCTCTCTCTCTTCTTGCGAGAGGAACTAACGTTCAGTTTCCAACAATATTGAAAAAGTGAAAGCGTATCCCCACTTGTCCGTTTATCTACCCCTCGAAGGTGTCTTCGCCTTTCAACGATTGATAAATAAGCCGAACGAAATTGACTTCAGGGCTTTGTTTTCCCAAAGGCAAGCGGAAGCCAATTCAATATACAAAGGATGAAGATTGTCCCAGTTTTAATCAATTCAAGATTCACGTGCGTACACAGCTGTCCGAGTTTTAGATAAAGCTATAGAAATGCAAATTACTCTGAAAACCTTTTATTCTTCACTTACCATTTATTTAAACGCAGCTATTAACACGATCTCATTTTTGTCGCTAGCTTAACTATTTGAAAGAGGTCTTTTTCCCCAAACATGACATAAATGAACGCTAGTTTTCCAGAAGCGCAAAAGATATGCTGTAGTTATTTCAAAAGTTGCGCGATACATCATGAACGTGCACAAGACTCTGCCAGCTTGAATTGACACTTCACGATTCATTCTTTGCTAGGTGCTGACAAAACCCATCTTAAATTTGACGACAATTCTTAGTTTCCGGTCTTCAAGAGAAATATTAAAGTATTTCAATGATGGAAATTCTTTTATACAAGTTTTACTGTGTAGCAATTTTTTTGGATAAAAAACTATAGCTAATAATTTAATAGCGTGTGGTTCCGGCCTAAATTATACTAAAAGAAATTTACGGAACAATATTAAAATTTTCTCCAAACCACCTTCGCATTTCAAATATGTCAACAATAGCCAAGATTTGTGTATTATTTTAAAGCCTCAAATACATACAGCAAAACCCAATCTTTTTCATCGTAGGTTGAATGAACAAATCCGGCATTAAAATGATATATTAAACAGTTAAATACGGTACGCTTATTATATCGCTGAAAAACTTGTCAACAGCTAAATGAAACCTGAAAATTTGATAACGTCGCTTTCACCATTAAAATTATATATGGTGGGAAACAAAGGAAATGACCGATTTAATACTTGAATTCGTTAATTATATTGCATCTTAAAGCCAATTATCTTTGAAGTTGTTTGTTTAATGCGAGGAAATAATTTCCTCTAACGTGTCTGACAACAATCAAGATTTTCATTAAAATGTGTAGGAGGGCAAACGAACATTTTTGCAATCTTCAGTTGATTGGATTCAACAAATGAGGTTTGAATTGCTAACATTAAACATTTAATTCTACGTGGGACCCAAAATCGTTAACAACGGTATTTAAGAGATTTGAACAATGGCATTAAGCATTTCTGAAGTTTGGTTATAAAATTGATTAATAAAACTCGATGCACTTTTGAGTCTAAACGCCTTAAAGCGGGCTGTCTAATGTTCGATAATTTGCAACTTGGCCACTTAAGTGTCGGTTTCAACCTGATTTCAGTGCGATTATCTAAACCACTCCAATCCAAATTACACGAGACACGGTAATGGCGACAAATTAGACAGTTCCTCAGTGTCTGACGGATGGTCGATCGTCCTTTGATCAACCAGAATCTCTGTCGCAAAACTGACAAAGTGTGTTCAACTCCAGCACGAGGTTCAACTTTTTCTTTAATACTGGGCCAGATAACTTGATCAAGCTAGCAAATCACAGGCTAGAAGTCACATCTTTTCAAATGGTTTTTGCTGTTGCCATTTGTTGTTTTTTAATTTTGTTTTGTTTTGTTTTTTTGTTTCTTTTGTCCATATGGTGTAAAAGATCGGCGCATTCAGAAATCGCACACCTCCTTCGATTCTTGAAAATCTTTGTTGACTGATCCTCCCATGTCCCATTTAGATACCTGGCATATTTTTACCAAATTTTCTATAACCACCATTATTAATACAAAGAATGCATCGGATAATTGCGAAAAATGAAGTCTCTGTGGTGCGGAGCTCGCTTGTGCGAATTCTAATTTCTTTTCTTTTTCTGTACGTTGTTCTAGCTTCCCCTTCATACCAGGAGAAGTAGAAATACCCCTATTTGCTTCAAGTACTATAAACCAGAGTTGAACACCGAATTGGTAAGCCTCTTAAGGGGGAGTTAAGGTTTAGGTTGTAGTGAGACCATCGAAAACCCGTGTGAATATATTCTTGATTCTACACATCATAAGAATACGATAATATTACACAATGGGGTATTTT